GTTTTGCTACTTGTCTGAAAGCTAACTCTCTTCTGCTTTCCAAGTATGTATTCTTCACACATATCAATCTCTACTGATTGTAAACCTGAGAGTTTTCTCTTTGTGTGTATAATCTTCATCCCCTTTTCACTCATATGACCGAGTCTCTGGTGTCACAGCTTTGAAGTCTCATTACCTGTTACAACTGAGATCAAACAACATGCACCTGCTATCATATACAGGGTACCAGTCTTTCTGCCTCTGGCAATTGTCATTGCGCCTTTTGAAATCCTCTAATCATCATCATGGAAAGTCATCGTGTAGCATTCACTAGCTAACTGGATTATTGAGCTTAAGTTTCTTTTCAGGTCGGGAATATACCTGACATCCTTCAGCTCTCATACTGAACTATTCAACTTAATCTTCACTACTCTTTTGCCAATAATGGCACATGGTTGATCATCACCAATGTATACATTTCCAAGGTTTTTTGGGATATACTTCTTGAGGAATTCTTTTTGAGAAGTAGCATGGAATGATGCTCCAGAGTCAAACACTCAAGACTCCTCCTTGCTCTCCAAAGAGCATATCAATGCATCATCTCCTCCTGAGGTGGAAGCAACATTTGCATCTATCTTTGCCTCCCACTCCTTCTGTGCACTCTTGCACTGATTCTTGTAGTGCCCGGTTTTCCCTCACTTCCAACACTCAACAGCCTTCGAGTTGCTAGGATTCCTAGATTTAGACCTCATGTTCTCTGATTCATTTCCTCTGGTTGAATTTCTACCACTTAACTCTATATGTAATACTGAAGATGTTATAGCTTCACTCGACTCTCTCCGTCGGATCTCCTCACTAAGAACCAGATCACGAATGTTGTCGAACTTCAACTTGTTGCTTCCCGACGAACTACTCATAGTTGTGACTGTAGCATTCCAACTCTCTGGTAGGGAAGACAAAAGGATCAACGCTCGAACTTCCTCATCAAACTTAATATCAACTGAACTCAATTGGATCGTGACTGTATTGAGTTCATTGAGATGATGTTGTACCGATGCACCTTCCGACATTCGCAGATTGAACAGTCGCCTCAACAAATGGACTTTATTTGAGGCTGATGGCTTCTCATAGATATTTAAGAGTGTTGTCATAAGACCCTTAGTGGTCTTCTCCTTTGCAATGTTAAAAGCAACATTGCGGGTTAATGTCAAACGAATAACCCCGAGTGCTTTTCTATCTTGAAGATTCTAATCTTCTTCCTTCATACCCTCCGGATTCTTCCCTGAGAGTGGTTGATACAGATTTTTCTAATATAGATAATCCTCTATCTGTATTTTCTAGAATCTGAAATCTGTTCCATCAAACTTTTCAAGTTTCCTTCATCTGCGGCCATGGCTCCTACTTGAATCTGACTTCCTCTAGATCGTTTCACGCTCTGATACCAGTTGTTGAGAATTTACCCGTCGGGGCTACGCAAAACCCCTAAAATAGTAGAAACACAGTATAGAAAAAATACACTAAGATTTAACGAGGTTCGGCAACTGCCTACGTCCTCGGGAGCCACACAGTAAATTCTTTCACTACTAGAAACAGGACTTAGCGACGGACAAATCCGTCGCTAAAAGTCAAAAATCCGTCGCTAAAACCTTTAGCGACGGAATGAATATAATTCTGTCGCTAAAAAACCGTCAGTACAATGAGGGTAGCTAAAACTGTTTTTAGCGACGGATATTCCGTCGCTAAATTTTAACGACGGAACATTAGCGACGGGTAATCCGTCTCATTATTTTTAAAAATAAAAATAAAAAACATTAGCGATGGATTTTTCGTAGCTATAACTAATTTTAGTAACGGATTTTTCGTTGCTAATATATTTTAGCGACGGATTTTCTGTCGCATTATTTTTTTAAAAAAATAAAAATATTAGCTACGGATTTTCCGTAGCTATAACAATTTTTAGCAACGGAAAATACTTCGCTAAAGTGTATTAGCGACGGATTTTCCGTTACTATACCTATTTTTTAAAAAAATTAAAAATAAATAAACTAATTTTCCGTCGCCATTTACATTAGCGACGAAAAATCCATTTGTCGCCCGTATATGTATTCCGTCGCTAAAAGTCTATTTAGCGACGGTAAATCCGTTGCTAAATATTTCCAATATTTTTTTAAAAATAATTTTAAAATTGAAAAAACCTGTACAATAATATAATAAATTTAAAACCCTATTTAATCAGTAGTATAATATTCATTCTCATGCATATATAACATATATAATTTAATTAAAATATCCCAACATAATAAACAACGATATAATAAACGTTGTTTATACAGTACACACCATGATAAATATTGTTTATACAACACAATCATTCATTGTTTTCAAAGGTAAAAAAATAAATCAGTCCTCCTGATCATCATCATCATCATCATCACCAGCTCCACCTTGCCTAAAAGTCCCGGCCTGCAAATATAAATCAAACGTTAACAACATGACATGACATTCAAGTATAGCAATAAGAGATCGAGTATCATGGCAGCTAAAATAGAACATTGCTTGAGTTGTTGGGAATTCGAAACAATCAATCGAACCCTTGCCCTTCCGGACCTTGTGTTGAAAGTAGGAAAGTAGGAATAAAACCACAAATAAAGATCTAACTTGCAAAAAATAGTAAGGGAGATGAACACACAGATTTAACGAGGTTCGGCAACGTGCCTACGTCCTCGGGAGCCACACCACACAATCTCTTTATTAATTGAAGAAGAAAATACAAGCTCTCAAACAAGGGGTTAATCTCTCTGAGATTCTCTCTCTCTTTGCAGCCAAAAAGCTCTCCTTTTTGATGTCTCTAAAACCCTAAAAACGTTTGGGATATATATAGAATCCTGAAACAAAACAGATTCCCAAACAGTTTAGGAAACTGTCTGGACGATTCGCGGTCAACCGCCGTGCCAAGGCCGGTCGACCGACCAGAGAAAAAAGTGTTTACAGGGTCCTGTGCACTTTGCGGTCGACCGCAGCGGCCACGCCGGTCGACCGGCCAGAGCGACAGAAACTTCTCAGTTTCCTGCAGTGCACGCGGTCGACCGGATCTG